CGCATACAATTAACCTGATACCTTGGAATTTCCTCTCAGATCACATATACTACATCTTTAGATCTTAAAAGGGTTTTCCCACCTCCCATTTATTTTTAATAACTTATATACATTTTCTCTCTCCATTGTTCCTTTGGCTCTTTACATTGGTCTTGTGATTCAGAAACATTTTACCTTGTCTTTTTTCTTAATTATAATCCACTGATGGATGTGTTTAATATTTCTTTCTTTTTAATCATGTTTACATACTACCTGTCAGTGTTGCATTACAACGCTAATCAGAATTAAAGATTAAAAAGTAACTAGAAAGGAAGAAACTGATGATGGAAGCAAGAATCCAAATGGGCCATGGTGCCTGGAGGTTTCTTGGCCACATGAAGTTGGCTACATCACCACCATCTTTAGAGCTGGACAGAATGTTTCATTCAGAAGTTTTCATCTCAAACCTTTAGTTGTGCTCTGATATCTATGTATGCATATGTCTGTGAACCTACAAATCTCTACTGACATCTATATTTATATTGTCCTCTGTGATTCGGCCACCATTGTTGCATTTGTACTTTTTCATGGTAGAAATGGCACTCAGACCAGGTTCGCCCATGATGGAATCTCTCAGTCATTTGGAAGCTGCAGTCACGCACAGGTTACATCAGTGCAACTGAAAGCTTGCACTGTAGCAATACCACACAGGTTTACCTCCATGCCCATAAAACCACATCCACCAGGGACCTCATCAACGCGAACACACTCAAGAGCAGCTAATGAGGATTTTAATTTAGCTTTAAATGCCTCTGGTGCTAGGGAGGCCTTTACTGCACCAGGCAGGGAATTCTCTTAAGCTCTGGTGGCTTTCACCATAAATGTCACTGCACCATATTTATTATTTGTTTTAGCTGCATGTCTAATGACTGAAAAGCTCATTTCTCAGATTACATTGATGCTGTGTGTTACTTACCAGTGCCCTGATTTGTTTAAAATACAGTGCAAAATGCAGGATTTAGGAAGAATTTTCCGCGGGGACTAAAGGTGAAAGTGGGAAGGACTGACAGGAATCTTCAGGACCTGGGGACTAGAGTCTGTATGAGGATGTAAAGGTTTGCAGGGGTGTTTGCTGAGGTGTAAAGTATAACTCGTGATCACCTATCACTGCTGATCCTTGAGAGGACTTTCCCCTGGGGTTCTTGATAAAGAGCATTTTTCTCTGTACAGCTGAGCCAGGCTTGTAAGATTAAGAAGGATCCGTCCTGCCAATGTTTTATAACTGCCCAGACATTCACAGGCAACGATTACTTATTAATGCTGCTGTTATACCAAGTGTCGCCTTTCGTTCTAATTCCCTCTATCCTGAGTGAGTCATTATGTGCTTCAGAGCTGACTTCAACCTTTCTCTTAGCCATTGCTTGCCAAACTCTGTCAATCAGAGATTTATTGCCTAGCAGTGGTATTTTCCAGCCTTCATCCAGAACTGCCCTCATTTATGACAAAATAAGGCTGGACCCTTTGTAAAGCAAACCTTCTGGTGCTTACTCAGTGCTTGAATCATCTGCTCTGCAAAGTCACTCACCCCCCATTAGGATGTTGCTCTGGAGTTCTCCTTTTCTCTCTGCATTTCCCATTTTTCCATAGAACTTCCTCATCTAGCTGGTCTCCCATTGCCTTTGAAGTGTCCAATGCCTCCAGCCCCTTCCTCTTCTCCTTTTCCCCAGCTGCAGTCACATTCTCTTGTAGTCCCCATCACTTGACCATTCCTCTGTTACCAGGTTTCTGTAACTCAATTCATTCCATATGGAAAAATAATATAGCTGCCATATATTGGGAGCTAGCAAAAAATAAGGCTTACAAACTCCCCAAAGGGTTATAACTCAAAGCTCGAGCATCATATATGTGAAATATGACTTCTTTAAAGCAGAGAGATAAAAACAAGATAACTTTAACAGCCTTTTTATTCAGGTATTTGGCTATTTATCTGAACCAAACCAAGTGTCTGGAACTCTAGAGGTGAGCCCTACAGTAATAGCACATGATTGGATGTGCAGTGATGCCATATGCTTTCAAATCTCTGATGCCTTGTGAAGCAAGGGAGCTGATGAATCACTGGGATAACAGTTATTTTGCTATATTTTCCTCAACTGGCTTAGGTCTCTTAGTGTGAGCAGTTATGAGTTGTTTGCACAGCTGGAACCTCCATTAACCAATCAGGTTCTTCCATTTATAATATCCATCTGACATATGACTGGTAGCCTTTGTGAGGGGAGTTGCATAGGTTTTTGTCCAATTCCCAGTCACTACTGTCACAAGAGACAACTTCCTGGTTAGCCTTGATTTTTTTTCAACCTTATGGGCAACCTCAGCAGAGATCAAGGATCAGTCTGTGCTTGGATGCAGGCTGAATGTGTAGGCAAAAGGAAATGGCCATAACTTCCCTAGCTTTTCTGAACGGAGCCTGCAACACTTGTCTCCTCCAGGTGACATGACTAAGCGAGGAAGCTTGTAAACTTGATGAATAACCCCTGTCTGTAGTCTCTCAGACACTGGCTAATGGACTCTGATTGGGGTCTTTTATAAAAAAAATATGCATGATAGGGGGAATTTGAAAGGAGATATGGCAGGGAGAGAAATAAGGAACATAAACATTTCAGTACATCAGTAGATCAATGATCCATCTAATACAATAGCTTGTTTTTAGCTGTGGCATGTGCTCGATACTTCTGAGAAAAATAAAAACAAAGGAGGATGAGAAAATATAGAACACTTGGGAAATTATACAATACAGCAGAAAGGAGGGAAATCTTCCTGTCTCTAGCTGATTCCTTGCTTACATCATGAAGCATGATGGCTTGATAATTAGCATTATTAGCCAAGAAAATACAAATTTAGTTTTTCTATATATAGAAGTCAGAGCTAATATAACTTAGGTACCTATATATGAAGTGCTATACCTGGTCAGTCCTCAGAGTGGAATCCAGAGCCCTCTGTTAAATGCCTGGCTCCTTATGAAGTGCATGGGGGAAATCAGATGCTTCAGAATGGGAACCTAAACAGCCAGCATGGTAAGCAGGGAGCCTCAGGCCAGCACTCAGCATGCAGCTGCCTCCAGCTAGATAATACGAAATACTAAGGACAGGGGGAGTCTGAAATTCCACTTTTCTGATACCTTGCACAGGGCTACCAGGAGGTGCCTGCATGCACTTGAGATCCATAGGCCTGAATTCCTCCTGCAGGAGGTACTTGCGTCTTTTCAGTGGACTGAGGAGCACTCACCCTTTTAAAATACAGCTGGAAGAGGATATTGCAGTGCCCCAACTTTAATATAATAGTTCAATGGTTAGGGCACTTGTCTAGGGAATGGGAGACCTAATCAGGGTCGTCTTTGGCCTGAGGGGATTCACCCCCACCTCCCAGGAGCCTGCCCTGGGCATCAGTGTGTAGGGTATTCTGTGTGCTGGAGGGCTCCATCCTTTTTGTTGAAGTTATGCCACTGTGCAGCAAAGACTTCAAGACTCTCTGGGCCAGAAAGAGCACAAGAAAG